CATACAGGTAACAAGTGGAGATTAGAAGCAGTCTCTTAAAGGGAGTGCTGCTAATTTCATTGTTACCTATATAAAAGCACCTGTCCACAGGAGCAAACAATCAGATTCCAAACTCTCCACCATGGTAAAGACCAAAGAGCTGTCCAAGGATGTCAGGGAGAAGATTGTAGACTGACACAAGGCTGGACTGGGCTACCAAACTATCGCCAAGCAGCTTGGTGAGAAGGTAACAGTTGGTGCAATCATTCGCAAATGGAAGAAACATAACTGTCAGTCTCCCTAGGTCTGGTGCACTATGCAAGATCTCACCTCGTGGAGTGTCAGTGATCATGAGAACAGTGAGGAATCATCCCAGAACTACACGTGAGGAACTTGTCAATAATCTCCAGGCAGCTGGGACCCACAATCACCAAGAAAACAATTGGTAACACACTACACCAACAAGGATTGAAATCCTGCAGTGCCCGCAAGGTCCCTCTGCTCAAGAAAGCACATGTCCAGGTCCGTCTGAAGTTTGCCACTGAACATCTGAATGATGTAGAGGAAGACTGGTTGAAAGTGTTGTGGTCAGATGAGACCATCATTAAAATCAAGCTCTTTGGCATAAACTCAACTCGCTGTGTTTGGAGGAGGAATGCTTCCCTATGACCCCAAGAACACCATCCCAACTGTCAAAACACGGTGGTGGAAACATTCTGCTTTGGGGGGCGTTTTTGTGCTAAAGGACAGGACAACTACACCGCATCAAAAGGGATGATGGACGGGGCAATGTACCATCAAATCTTGGGTGAGAACCTTCTTCCCTCAGCCAGGGCACTGAAAATGGGTCATGGCTAGGTGTTCCAGCATGACAATTGGGCGCACTAGAGACATGAACGCTGTACATGACAGCCATCTTGTTAGGTCTCAGCCATGTTCTCTCTGAATGGAATGTAAAGCTGTAAGTTGAACGGAGGAGGTCAAAAGGGCCTCTAATCCTAAATAAAAACACAGCTAGATAAAGCTCCAGGGCTGTAAAACCGCTAAATTAGTCTGGTTTCAGGGATCTGCTTTGAAAACCGCTTTCCTCTGCCCGATCGTAAAACAATAACTCAGTGAGCCATGACCCGCTAGGCCATTAGGGCTAGAGTGTGCCATAAAACATACATTCCATGAGTCATTTTTCATACAATTCATAAACTTCAGCAGGAACTGGGCACATTAATATGAAGTATATATTCAGATAGATCATTTTAATATGAGTCACACCAGACCTTACATCACTAGATTAGTACCTACAAAGAGAGAAGCAGTCTTTTATCCTGGGTAACAAGGGTAGGCTATGTTTGGTATCTTTGCGTTTGGAATATAATGAATACCAATTTGCCAGTTGCTAGGATACTATCTGTACTTCTTGCAGGTTACTGACCTTCAAATGAAATCGTAAGGGATTTGATCAAAACCTTGGTTACCGCCTAACACCCATCCAAACTGGATGATTGATTTGTTCTCAGGAGACACCCCTTTGAAATGATAGAAAAAAAGTGACAGCCTGGAGAAAGACGGCTCAGGGGGCCGTTTAACATCTATCAGAAAACATCTACAGACTTGAGAGCCAAGGCAACCTTTTTGGCGAGCTTCAGACAATTGGACTCCGCTCAAACCAAGGACTTTTGCAAGTATTCTACCTTCTGAACATCTCTTTAAATTCTGTTATTGGACTGCTCAAACCAAGGACTTTTGTTGAACATCTCTTTATATCTTTGTTACATCTTTTTCTGTAAATATTTTTAATTGCACCATTTTGACCTTTTTAGTAATAAATCCTATTTTTGAAATGTGTTGAAACGATCTCTAAAGCTTTTAATGCAAACTAAAGAATCCTGTCTCTTGAAGAGTGATACTGTATGTAATAATCCTTCACTGAATATATGTTGTGACAGTGTGCATTACAGACGCTTATACTAATAGTGTTTACTGCTAAGATTTGTGAGTTTCCCTCCTCTGTAAAAAGGTGGCGGGGTGGTGCAGTGCAGTGTTGTGAAGGGTTAATTTGCGTAATTAACTTGACCCAGTAACAATCGCTCTCAGGCTGCTGACAGATTGTAGTCCCGCGAGCTGGAAAACTCTTTGTGCAGGGCACAGCTGAGAGTAGCATTGTTACACAAGTGACAGCATGGTGCGAGATCTGCTGGTCCTTTTGGTCTCACGAGCTGGTGAGAAGGGCTGGGATCAGATGCTTCGTTTCGTCACAATGACCCAAAACACATGGAAAAAGGCAACAAAGGAGTAGCTCAAGAAGTAGCACATTAGGCATATCTGGTTCTACATGTTCAGGTGAGGCTTCTAACTGAATGGATTGGCATTTCTCCCTCATATCACCAGCAAAGCAGAGTGCTCAGTCCCTGGATATCCGTCTCCGACATGATGTAATAAAGGGGGGGAGGCAGACACCAGCTGTCAGATAATGGACAGCATATTAGCCAAATGTAAGGTGTAGTAATTGCTTGCTTATCCTTATACCAAGTTAAATAGCTTCAAATTCTGGGCTACATATTACTTCCAGGGCAGTGGCATTGCTTGCAGGGAAGTTGAACAGGTTCAGATTTTACGAATTAAAAAAAACTTATTTAACCTAGGTGGTCAGGATGTGCATTCCAATTTAAAACACCTGCTTCGTGACAGATCCTTTGGAAAGCAATAAATTGTTTTATAAGTCTATTCTAAAGCTGGCCATATATGAGCTCTGAAGGAATGGCATAACCTGTGTGCCATGGCCGAGACTCCCCTGCGCATGCAAGGGAGTGACGTCATCGACAGCTCGGCCATTCAAGCAACCACAGACCATGAACCCAGGAGGACTGAAGCCTCTGCAGCGGTGACAGTGCACCGCTGGAGAGCTTTGTTCTTAGATATGCCTTTCATAATGTGCTAGAATGCATTGCATCTGTCACTATTCAAGCAGATTACACTTCCACAATGCTTGCAGCACCACCTATGGATTAAATTTCACAGCATTGAGCAGGAATTTAAATGCAAGAGTTGCAAAGCTGTAATTTCATCAAACGGTTATATACAGTGCTTTTTTTGCTAGCCCACAATTTAAAAACTACTAGTATTGCAAGGATTAACACAAATAAAGGAAAAACAGACAGCAAAGCCCTAGTGAAGGCAGAGGCCAATTTGTAAGCAGTTTAATAAACTGACATTTTGAATCCCCCTGCATGCAACACACCAGCATCACTAGTATGGAAAGGAAATAAAATTTGCCTGTTTCTATTCCGTTCAAACCCTTGATGGATAATTCATTAAGATGCCACATCCTCACAGGACATCTAAGGGCCCTCTCAAAGTTATTTTGATGAACTTTTGGTTAAACAAAAAAATGTATGAAAAGCGTATTCCTTTAAATCCTGTGGAAGTTTTCACACCAATGCACGGCGCATTTTTAAAAGTCCTGCATGTTTAACCACTTAACCATTGTAAGATCCCCCCCCCATCATGACCAGGCCATTTTTTGCTATATGGAACTGCATTACTTTAACTGACAATTGCAGTCATGCATCAGTATAAATAATGTAATTTTTATTTATTGTAGCTATATTTTGGTGGTATTTGATCACCACTGGGTTTTTACTCTTGGCGCAACAAAAAAAACGACCAAACAATTTGGGGGGGGGGAAGCGTATATTGTTTGGTTTGTATAAAAGGTATAGCGTTTACAAACTTAAGGTGTGTATATATATATATATATACACACACACCGAAATTTTATTTTTTTTTATACTAGTAATGGCGGCAATCAGTGACTTATAGCGGGACTGCTATAAGGGATTGCGATGGACAATCTGCCACTTTTTGGGAATCAGTGACACTAACCGTGATCAGTACTAAAAAATTTGCATTGTCACTGGGCTAATGACACTGGCTGGGAAGAGGTTAAACATTTGGGGCAATCAAAGGGTTCAACGTGTGCCTAACCAGTGTTTTTGTGTGCATTGCTTTCACTAAGAGATATGCAGGACTTTTTTTCCCCGCTTTGCAGGAAAACAAAATCCAGCACATCCTACTGACAGGAAGGAGCTCTGCTTTACCACTTTTAAGCAGAGCAGTGTGAAAAGGCCCAAAAGGTCTGCAAAGGGACAACAACTTTAGCAGCAAAAGGATACAGTAGAAACAGTTGATTTTCGCTCTTTTTTCATTAATCACTAGCAATCCTGCAACTGCCAAGTTCTCCCCTAGCAACAGATCACTGGAGTGACATAGGCTAAAGCTGCTTAGTTTAATAACTCTAGATCTGGATTTACTACTACTGTACGAGTTGCTAAAAAGGCATTTAAAAAAAAGTTAATCCTTCAAATAAAACCAGCCATTTTCACCCTTTTCAAATTTTTTTTTTCTTTTTTTTGGTGGTTTCTCAGTACAGGTAGTTACTGGGTAAAGCACTGCCTTTTTGTTCTGGGGTACATACCTTGATTACTGTTAGGTCGAGGCCATGCTTCTCTCAGTTATTGTCTGCCTTAGAGCCAGTATTCAAACATGTCAATACAGAGGAGACCTATTTCACAGAACAATGGATGTTGCTTTATTGCTATATAGTGTCCTATCTGGTGTTATTGTACCTTGCTTGATCTTTGTTTTTTGTTTTTTTGCATAAATAAGAAATAAAACCCCTTAGTACAGAACGCATTAAAATAAGGTAATCCTAGCACAAAATATATTTTACTACACTACTTGGCGCTCTTGCTTTTGCAGTTTTGATCCTGGGTTTGAATCCCCTTAGGGCACTATTTGCATACATGAAGTTTGAATGGGTTTCCTCCTTCAAATCAAATGCACGGTAGTAAGTTGACTGAATTCTCCTCAAAAAAATGTGTTGCAGAGACCTGCAATTGTGGGCGACAGTAACTGATGTGACTGAAATTACTTTATGTGCACAGTAAAGCATTGCTAATGTGTTACTACTATTTAAACAGCTAAGGGGGGGAATTAATGCAACTCATGATAAAGTAAATCTTTACCTTGCTTCGCAATTTTCCTTTTGATTTGGTCTTCTGCTTCCGTTTTAGTTTCTTCTTGCTAAGAATTTTCTTATTTCTGAACCAAAAAAAAAAAAAAAAAAAAAAAAAAAGTTGGAAATGAATATAATGAAGGCAATACATTTTGCAGTAAACAAGAAGCTTTATTTGAAGTACAGTGAAACATTGTACAAATTCCCAGCCGATAATGTAAAATATGCTTCTCTTTCTTTAGCCACCCATTTCTTACAGATCACTTTGTTTATGTAAATGAGCAAAATTCCAGGCTACCGTGTTCTAGCTAGAGCCCAGAACATCCATAAAAGATGAAGGAAAATTTTTCATGCAATGCTCACTGTTTCTTGCCTTAAGATACTATAGCTGAATCTGCCTGTTAAATGGATGCATCTTTCTTCGTTATAATAGAATGCAATGGGTAAACACATAATTTAATAGTTTTCCTATATTAAAACCTAATAGTTATCCTAAGTTAGCAGCAGAACACACATTTTCCCTGTAGCAAAGCTTGCTTAAAGTGCTGTAAGGAGGCATGAAATTCAGCACCTTCAGCATGTTGGTTCTAGTAATGCCATTTGTCTGGAAAGGAGTCAGTAGGCTCCTGGCACTTAAAGAAAAAACAATTTGCTTGTTTTACAGCAACACAATGCAGGCCAACACTGTCCAAGAGACGACTTCAGCATCTTGGCGCTTCTTGCTAAACCATTCCCAGTGCATGAGCCTAGCAACAAACTAGGCCCCTAGCAACCACTCCCGGATAGGACCAAACGCAGCAGCAGCAATGTGCTTCCATCCACTGGTTTTGTTCTCGATTATTATACAGGATTTACATAGCACCAACAGTTTGCGCAGTGCTTTACAATATAACAGGAGACCATACAGCAACAACACAGTTCAATACAAGAGGGAAAGGAGGGCCCTGCTCCTTGGAGCTTACAATCTAAGAGTATGTCACTTACAAAAATGGACAATAAATGGGAGTGAATATTGACATCTACTGTGAAACATCAAAGTAATGCATAAGCAATATAATCCTCCTCCAATGCTGCAGATGACTGATTGAAAAATGTGGACAGAAAGCAATGTAAAGACATGAGAGCACAAGCATACCATCACATTTTCAGGGGGAAAAAAAAAAAAACACCCACAAGTAAATGAGCCCAGGGTACTCATAGAAATAGCTGACAATAAGCAGATGGCACCTAACAGATGAAGGTAGAATATACAGCATGCAAAGAGTAAACAATATATTATGCAAGAATTATGTCTGAGCTTTCTTCAATCCATCTGCTTGTGTAAATCCATTTTCAAATCACTACATCTTCATCATGAAGAATCACAGATATAACCTTGCACGTGCTGAGGAAAAAACGGATTTGATCGCTAAATATCACAAACAAAAATCTCCACATTTTTTTTTTTTTTAACATGGAACACAAGTGGTCAGTAACACAAAACGGGGGAGGAAAAAAAAAAAAAAAAAAAAAAGGACGAGGGTCAACGTTATCAGGGCCAGTTACCGCCTGGTGTATTCTATATGACAAATCAAGAGACATCTTAATTCAATATAGTATTGCTTAGGCAAGTCAAAGATGGGTAGAAAGAAAGAAAACACAAAATAAAATTATATCCATCTCTCAACCATCAACACAGTATATGTCGGTAGGGGGATCATTCTCGCAGCACTATGGTGTTTTGCCAACAGGAGCCTTCCCATAATTATTGCTAGCAGCTATAGACACCAGCAGTGATTGTATGCAAAGAACCCAAAAGGCTGGTTGTACCAAAGTCGATCTATTGATCAACCAACTTGCCCATAGATGGATTGATGCTCGACCAGTCCCTGCTGAACCAGTCAATATTAAGAGAACACAATATAAGCTCAAGATAGGACACTGAGCAAAATAAAAAAAAAAAAAAAAAAAAAAAAAAAATCTAGAATTCAAACCTTAATATTTTTCTTTGTGAGGTCTGTCCTCAAATCTTTTTACAAATGCTCTCGAGGTTATGTAGATGTTAAGACTCATCCTACACCAGAGGATGCAATGCTTTGGGTAATCAAAAAGACACCAGAGTCCACAATATGCAAAAACAAAAAAAAAACAAAAAAACAAAAAACAAATACACAATCAAAAATGGGTGTGTGTATCCAAAGAATTCTAAATAGAAGGTGACAAACACTCCTTGATATCAAAGAACAGTCTGCAGAATATTTAAAATAAGTACGGAACTAAAAACACATACAGTTTTACTTGCCGAAGAATGTTATTCTGTTCAGCCAGTTTTGAGACGTACACAGCCCTACCACAACCAATATCACCACCCTGCTTGCTACAGCTTTATAGCTTCCAGAGTCACGGATCTGCTCACTGGTAACAGGTGGCAAGGCTGATTCATGACCAACAGGAAAGCTGAAGGTGTAGAAAATTACATAAGCAGCAGCAAAAGCTCAACCAGTAAATTGGTTGCCCCTTCCCTGGCTGGAATCGCAAAAAAAGGGTTGAAAAGAAGCACAAATCCCTAGGCAGGTAAAAAAATGGTAGAACCCTTCCTTTTTAATAAAAACAAAAGTTTGACCAATCAATGTAATTCTTGAAAAGGCAGGGGAGGGGGATGGCACTAGCATTAGACATAAAAATATACTGCTACTAAGAAATTTCAACTGCCAGTAACTGGTATATTATAGATGTATAGAGAAAGATCTTCACACATGTCAAGAAAGATGGCCTGCGCTTCATCAAGACGCCTACAATAAAACCGTTGCCGTTTTTGTTTTATTTTTTGTTTTTTTTTTAGTTATCCATCCATCTATATCCTCCGCTTGACCCATGAGTGCATCTATACAATTTTGGAACGGTTGTTTATTATAGGTACTATACTTATATTACACAGTTCACATCTAGTAGACTGTATAGTGGAATAGACTTTGCAAATACACAGTGGTGATTCACATTTACAGACATTTTTATAAAATGTAGAACTGCACATTGACCCAAAATGTCAAAGACAGCAATAAAGAATTGTAAACCTTGAATTACAACTTTATCTACATAAAACCGCAAAATATTTATAAAATGTGAAAAATCACGAGACATCAGTGAAAACCACAAAACCTTCTACACAGATTTGACTACTAGTAGAAAAATCTTATTATAGGATAGCCTCTTACAACTCAACCAGTGCCCACTGGTACCAAACCTCCCCCCCAATTTTACATGTGAATGAGCCCCAAGAGCTGCTGATGCCAGGTGCAACTAAGGGCTCATTCACAAGTGCAGCAGGCATTGCTGCTTCTCTGCAAGGCAATTTGTTTGACAAGTGGTGAGGATTGTGACACAATAGTAGGGCAATTAAAGGCTTATATCAGGTGTTTTTGTGGGTTTTTTCCCCATCCGACATCTCCCGACCCTCCCCTGGTTGTGCTACAATTTCCCCTGCTCTCAGTCTTTCCCTACCTAGGTGTGATGATGGTTGGGAGGGGAAGGGGGGGGGGGGGGTAAAGAGAATTTCATTCAGGCGGGTAGTCTGGAGGTTCAGACATGCTGTCAGACTCCGATCTAACGAATCACATGAACTAGGGACTGAAGTGGACATGTGTGTTTTGAGTCTCACCCTAAATTAGGAATCACTAGTGAAAACTACCCATGACTGATTCCAGGGCACCATGAGGGTCTTTTGGGGGGGGGGGGGGGGGGGATGGATAAGAGAATGAACATCAATACAAATGAGCTCAATCAAGGTCATGACTTATAACATGAAAGGATTAAATTCCCCGACAAAAAGGCATAAGATTCTCAGGGAAATATACCAACACTCCTTAGACAGTGTTTCTACAAGAGATACACAATCTACAATACAAATGTTAAATTATACTTGAAGTACTAACATGGTATTATGCGGATTCCCCAATTAAAAGGGCTAAAAGGAGTAGCAATCGGGTTTTCAAAATAAATGTTAGCGTCACCCTGCAGGGGAGAGTGGAGGACCTAGATGGCCAGTTTCTATTCCTGAACGTAAGACTACAAGGAATGGAAAATACATTAGTTAATATTTACTGCCCAAATAAAAACCCAATAACATTCTTGGAGGGTTAAGTAAAATCTGTGAATATAAAAAAAGGGGTAATCTGGTTGTGGCAGGAGATCTCAATCTTTGCTTGGATCCGTATTTGGATGCGTCATCTGTACAACAAGAAAGGTTGGTAGGGAATTAAATTTACTGAAGAGGTTATTACACCAAAGCCAATTGACCGATACTTGGAGAGTAAAACATCCAAGAGAAAAGAGATTACACCTTCTCTCCACTACAGGGACTGGATTATATATCGATTGAGCATAGACAACTGGAGTCGTTGGTTAGTTCCAAAATAGAGGTTATGTCTGTCTATCTCTGATCATGCTCCTGTCACAGCGAGACTGGGTTGGAGTGGAGCAGGACAAAAACAAATACTTAGAGAGTAAATGAGATGCTCACACAAGATCCTGAAATACTGAAGATAAGGCAGGAAACTGAACAATCTTGAGATTAATGAGACCAAGGAGGTGTCGGTAGCCACAATGTGGGAGACTCATAAGGCATATATTAGGGGAGCATTGATAGCAATAGGGGCAAAAAAAAAAAAAAAAAAAAAAAAAAAAAAAAAAAAAAAAAGGAAGAACAGGGAAAAAATAAATAAATTATAAAGGAGGGTGACGGAGGACCTACACAGAACAGTTACAAAAAAAATCAAAAAAAAATAATAGGAGGTATGGATATATAAATCAGAAGATTATCTTTAAAAGAGAATTAAAAGATCTTATGGAACAGGAGACGAGGATATTTAATAGGGTATCAAAAGAAAGATATCAGTGGGGGGGGGAATAGACCTGGAAAATATTTAATGAGGAGGTTAAAGGAAAAGAAATCTAAAAATTTTAAAGCTAAAATCCAAACCGATAAAAAGGAGAATTAGTGTATGCCACCACTGATATCGCCAATAGGTTCCAAGAATACTATAGCAGGCTTTATAATGCGACGAGTCCTAGAAATCAAAAAGAAAAAAAAGGAGGATAAGAAGAGTAAAA